AGGAAGTGAGGATGGTGGTGAGAGTGTATCTGAAGTGACTGATCATGGAATCCATACCAGGGAGAAGAAATTAAAGAAGAGCTGATAAACTGAGAGGAGAGAGAAGATTAAGGAAAGGAGAACTTGATGCAATTGAAAATAAGTTTAATGGGAATGGAAGAGTGTGAAAACTGGGGTTTTGAGCACAAAGCAGAGTTTCAGAGTTCAAGATTTCAGAGATAGGGCAATTTTGTAGAATAAGTTCCAGGATGTGGCTTCAGTATGTGGTCTTGTTGAAGTGGCACAGAGGGGGTAATCATTGCAGTGGGGACTGTCAAGGAACTGGGAGACTAGATCATCTTCATCATGGATCTTGAAGTCATTCCAGGAGAGTGGTAGAAATTAAAATGCTAAGGATATTTACTATTCTGCCCAGATTCATGTAATTTTAAAAACTGATAAGCATGCCTTCAATGAAATCATTGATAAAAAATTTTAATTGAAGAAAGGCCTTTATCATGTCACTACTATGTCTGTGTGTTGACAGAGACCTATTAAGTGGCATCGAACAAAGAGGTCAGAGATTTACAACTGAGTGGGACTATTCTTATCCATGGGTTAAGGGTTACACTGGCTTAAGTCCCCACCCGTCCCTTTAAGTCTAATCTGGGGATCCAACCACTAAACTAAGTCTCAGTTTGTCTCTTCTTTGACCCAAAAATATCTATACTTCGCACCAAGGGGCAAACAAGACCCTGTTCTTGCTGTAAATGCCTACTGCTGGCTCTGAAAAAATTGATCTGAAGGACAAAGTAGACATTTATGAGGACCAGCCTCACCACCCACTTCCCCGACAAAGATACTGATTTTAAAAGAGGCCTGTAGTGCAAGCCTAGGCCCTGATTAGCTTTGCTGCTTGGTTTAAAATTTACTAGAGCCAGTTCTGTAGCAGATGAAATACCATATGCTTTTTCCAAGAGGCCGTTACTCTCTGGGGGTTGAACTAGTAGTTTTACCAGTCTCTTCCTCCTCCTCCTTCTTTTTGCCTCATAATCTTTTTTCAAATTATAACTTGTATGAAATACAGATATGTAAAATAGGGAAAAGCAGAGATTCTCTGGTAGGGCCAGGGTGGGGATCCACAGGCCAGCTCACTCACACTCTTTTTCTCTACCTCCAAACCACCTCCCCAACCCCCACCCCAGGCATCTAAAGTAACTTTTAAGGGCTTCTTGAAGCAGCTGGGGATGGAAGGAACCACTGCATTTTATTTCCTTTTAGCACTATCATTTTATGTCTATTATTCAGTGAAGACAAGATGCAATAGGTTCAGCAAATTAAAATATCTGGAATATTAAGAAATATATCTTGAACATGTCCACAATTCTTGATCTGTTTCCAATTTCAGCTAGGAAAAGCACAGTAGGACCATGATCAGATTCCCACCAGGCCCATGGGAATGGTGTAGCTAACAGAAAGTAGAATGGATGGTTGCCAAGGACTTAGGGAAAGGGAGATGAGGGAGTTACTATTTAATGGGTACAGAGTTTCAGTTTTGCAAGATGAAAAATGGATGGATGGTGGTGATAGCACGTCAATATGAATGTACTTAATGTTACTGAGCTGTACACTTAAAAATAGTTAAGATGGTAAATTTTATGTTAGGTGTATTTTACCACATTTTTTTTTAAAAGGCAATGGTTCCTGGAATATCATCCAACCATTAAAAATAATGGTCACTCAGATTGCATAACAACATGAATCAAAAGGCTTTTGACAGTGTGAAGTTTTTTTAAAACTAGGGCAAAAAAATTCAGTTAAGATCCAAAATACATAAAGAACTCATACAACTCAATAGCAAAAAAACAAACAATCCAATTAAAAATGGACAGAAGATCTGGGGCCGGCCCCATGGTGTACTGGTTAAGTTTGGCGCATTCCAGTTTGGCAGTCCGGGTTCGCAGGTTCAGATCCCAGGCACAGATCTACCATTCATCAGCCACACTGTGGCAGCGACCCACATATAAAGTAGAGGAAGATTGGCACAGGTGTTAGCTCAAGGATAATCTTCCTCAAGCAAAAAACAAGGAAGATTGGCAACAGATATTAGGGCTAATCTTCCTCAGCAAAAAAAAAAGAAAGAAAATGGACAGAAGATCTGAATAGACATTTTCCCAAAGCAGACATACAGATGGGCAAAAGGTACATGAAAATATGCTCAACATCACTAATCATCAGGGAAATGCAAATCAAAACTACAATGAGCTATCACCTCACACCTGTTAGAATGGCTATTATCAAAAAGACAAGAAATAACAAGTGTTAGCAAGGTTGTGGAGAAAAGGGCACCCTTGTGCATTGTTGGTGGGAATGTAAATAGATGTAGCTACTATGGAAAACAGTATGGAGGTTCCTCAAAAAATTAGAAATAGAACTACCATATGATCCAGCAATTCCACTTCTAGGTATTTATCTGAAGAAAACAAAAACACTAACTCAAAAAGATATGTGCACCCCCCTGTTCATGGCAGCATTATTTACAATAGCCAAAATATGGAAACAACCTAAGTGTCCATCAACAGACGAATAGATAAGGAAAATGTGGTATATATATATAATGGAATACTATTAAGCCATAAAAAAGAAGGCAATCTTGCCATTTATGACAACATGGATGGATCTTGAGGGCATTATGCTAAGTGAAATAAGTCAGATAAAGACAAATACTGTATGATCTCACTTACATGTGGAATCTAAACAAAAAAAAAAAACAAGCTCATAGATACAGAGAACAGATTGGTGGCTGCCAAGAAGTGGGGGTTGGGGGGTGGAGGGTGGTGAAATGGGTGAAGGGGGTCAAAAGACACAAACTTCCAGTTATAAAATAAATAAGTCATGGGGTTACATGTACAGTATGGTGACTATGGTAAATAATACTGTATGGCATATTTGAAAGTTTCTAAGAGAGTAATCTTAAAAGTCCTCATCACAAGAAAAAAATTTTTTTTGTATGGTGATGAACGTTAACTAGACTTACTCTGGTGATCATTTTTCAACATATACAAATATGAACTATTACGTTATCCACCTGAAACTAATATTATACGTCAATTATACCTCAATTAAAAAGATTCTACATATGATTATAATTATTTAAAACAAATCTATAGAAATGGGGGGAAGACTAGCAGGAAATACACCAAAGTGCTAAGAGAGGACGTGGTACACACTTTTTCTCCCCTCTCTTCTATATTTCAAAAAGCTTTACACAGGTAAAAATTTTATAATGAAAAAAAAGCTTCTAGGGGGTCGGCCCAGTGGCACAAGCGGTTAAGTGTGCGTGCTCCGCTGTGGCGGCCCAGGGTTCACCGGTTCGGATCCCGGGAGCGCACTGATGCACCACTTGTCGAGCCATGCTGTGGTGGCGTCCCATATAAAGTGGAGGAAGATGGGCATGGATGTTAGCCCAGGGCCAGTCTTCCTCAGCAAAAAAGAGGATTGGCAGATGTTATCTCAGGGCCGCTCTTCCTCACACACACAAAAAAAACTTCTAATACTTAAAAATGTTTAAAGCAAAGGAGATTCCTTCCTGACCATAGGGTTTCTTCACATCACTTCATGTCCCTAGTAGACAGACAGAGAAATGATACACTAAAGAGTTACTGGTGTTTTTCAGGAACAAACTCACAGATACAAAGAAAAAACTGATGGTTGCCAGAGGGGGAGAGGATGAGGGGATGGGCAAAATAGGTGAAGGGAATTAAGTACAAACTTCCAGTCATAAAATAAATGTCACAGGATGTAACATACAGCATAAGGAATATAGTCAATAATACTGTAAATAACTTTGTATGGTGTCAGATGATAACTAGACATATCCTGGTGATCATTTCATAATGTATAAAAATATCGAATCACTATGTTGTATATCTAAAACTAGTATAATGTATATCAATTATACTTCAATAAAAATAAATAATGATAAAACATTGCTGTTAGGATTTATTCCAAAAAGAAAGTTGTAATATGAGACATGACACTGTGATCATAAGAAAAAAATTAACAAAAGAAATGAACAGAAAGAATAAAATATATTTAGGAATATCTAATTCCTAGGTGGAAATTAATTTATTAATTTCAGCCAATACTGGGTATCAAAAATTTTCATTGACTAGAAAAGGCCGAGTTCTCTTTAAACAGTCAGTAGTATGTTATTCTTCCTCAATTTTAGAATAACTGTGGAAATTCTCTAAAATTTTCCATGGCATTTAGTTTTAATAAATTTTTTTAAAAAGAGTCATTTTTTTTCATTGGTTTACATATATTTATTGAATGCTATATAAGTGCAGGGCACTGTCCTAGAAATTGGGGATACAGGGTGAACATGAAAAAGCCCCTGAACTCCCGGAACTTACATTCTAGTGGGCGAACACAGCTGGGAAATAAAAACAAAAAAATACTAGACACTGATAGTGCTGTGCAGAGAATTAAAATAGGTAATATAATAAATAATAGCATTTTTAGATTGAGAGATCAGGGAAGGCTCAAAGGACATGAGATCTGAATTGACACCTGAATGACAAGAATTAGACTTGGGAAGATAGACGAAAGAGACAACGTCAAGACTCAGAAAAATAAACGTGCCCAATTTGAGGAACTGAAAGAGCCACTGTATCTGCAGAGTACTCGGTAAGGGAGTGGTATGAGGTGAAGACATTGCCCCTTCCTTCAGGAACTTGTGGTGAAATAGAGCTCGGTAGTCATACAGACAGTTCCTGACTCTTCTCTTTTGGCATAAACCTTCTGAGGACTTCAAATTCATAATATTCTACAGAGCAGAAAATCAGGACTTTTAAAAAAGAATTGTCTCCATTTTTTTCTATAGATTACAGCTTCTTCATCTGTAATCAAAGGGAGTGCATGGCAATGTTAGCCTCAGAGAGGAAGCAGATACCAATGCATATTGCATAGAACCAGCCCATACTAAGAAATCCAAATTGCTCTCCAAAATCAAGGCTTACTTATCCTTCCCAAACTCAAATTTCCCGGGTCCAATTCGAAGTAGATAGCCATTGAGCCACTTAGGAAAATGTCCTCGAACTTGAGCAGAGATGATCTGTGGAGTCTCCTCCACCGTGGTTAGTAGTGGTGCAATACATGGAAGACCTTCCCGTCTACTGAAGATCGCTTTTTTCTTATAAGTATTTTCCATGTACTTCTTCAAAACTGTGAAGAGGAAATCAAAAGCACAAAAAACTTTACCAGTCTTCTATAAATATGCCTGTTTCTCCATAGACAATAATCTTATCTACTGGTAAGGAAAATGGAATCCTAACCCAAATACAGTCTCCAAATTCTTCTCTCTCCTTCCTCATTCTCAGACCACCAACTCTTTAGTTCTCCATTTTTGAACCACAACAATCCTTTTTGTATTCTTGCAATACAAATCTGCCTAAGAGTTAACTCAGGACTTTAATTACTACTATTATCATTTCTCATGGTTGAACAATGCTCGTCTTTTCACAAGACTGAATCTACATGCTGACTCCCGATGTGCTAACAGTAAAACTCATTTGTTATAATAAAAAATGACCACCATTCAATATTACCATAATTACATTGACCTCAGTACTTCAGAATGCGATCCCAAAGATACAGCAATTTATGAGAATTTAGTAGTAATAATTTTTTCTATTTTAATGGCATACATATGAATGTACATGGAATTTTCTAGGAGAAGGGTGTCATAAATTAAATTATGCAGTGATTCATGGTCTGAAATTACCTGAACTTCAAAAGTCACAAGAAAAAAAATCATATAAAATAAGGAGCTAAAAATTGTCCCTATTATTTCATATTTATTTAATGTTCACAAGGCAGTATTGCCTAACACAGAGGGGTCGTCAAATATACAATTAATTAAGTACTATAAAATACACTCCTTTATTTTATTTTATAAAACTTGACAGCAATATAGAAGTCTAAACTAGAAAAACAAATTAACACAGAGGGACACTATTCCTCTGAAGAAGTGAGATCTGCTTTCTTTTAGCAAAATATTTTACAATATTTTATCTATTATCCCATTCCTTTCAAATTTTTTCAAAAATTCAGTTTAGAGTACATGAGACCTTCTACTTTCCCACATGTAAGGTAGGGGCAGAAAAAATTTCCCTTCTTCCCTTCTAGATTCTTTGGCTGGTCTAATAACTAAATAGATATAAGACAAATTAACAGGAGAAAAACAAATTTAATTATGTACATACAGGAGCCCCATAAAGATATAAAGACTCAAAGGGCAGCTAGGTTGAGGCTTACATAACATCTTGAGCTAAAAAAGGGGTAGGGGTCTGGGGATACAAAGAGAAGAAAGGCCATTCGCAGGAAGGAGAGAGGAGATATTTGGAAAACAAAGGAGATATTTGGAAACAAAAAACTTTGTAGATAAAGTTTCTTAGGTAAAAAGGTATCTCTGGTAATTGCTCTCTTCCTGGTACAGGCCCCCTTTCCAATGTAAATTTAGGCAGTTGAGGGGGACGTAAAAGACCTTTCCCGAATCTGATGGGTTTTGATTGCCTTTAGTTCAAAATAATCCTTATGCTAAAGAGATATTTTGGGGTGGCAAAACCTGCTCCCCTTCAGTGCCGCCTTTGAAACTCAAGTAAGAAATTTCACAATCCAGAAGCTAAGTTGATAGGTTGCTCCATATCTCACTGAACCAGTCTCAGTCTTGAGAATAGGTCACTTCAGTTAAAACAGTTGTGTCTCATTTCAGGAGGTGGATAACGCAGATGGGCTCCCAAAGCTAGGCCTATACTGCATAAACAAGCAATCAGGTATTTAATAAGAGGCATTTCTATGGAAACAAAATAAAAACATGGTTAATGATAGGACCAGACTATAAACCTAATCTGAGTCCAGAGGGCAACCAGTTGAGAGAAGAGAAGATTTCTAGATGTAAGGGTTGAAGCATCTTTTGCAGTTTGAATATCTCTGATGATGCCACCAGGTGTTCAGGTAAACTTTCTGAGAAGCCCACACAGCAACAGGCTCAAGGGTCATCCATACATGAGCTGTTGCAGCAATTTCTCTGAAATTTATATCAAAGTTGTTCAGCTTCACTTTGCAGGGAGCCAGGAAAAGAGTTCTCAATGATTCCAAGTCAAAAAAAGTGGGAGAAAATTGGAAACGTTAGTTTGGATATTTCTAGCCAAATGTTTGAAGCAACTAGAAGAATTCAGGATCCAGTCCAGTTTACAGGTAAATAACAAAACCTCAAATACAATTAACAGAACTAGAATCTGATATCCACAAGAGCATATTATAGTTTCTACTGAAACATAATTTTTCTCTCTGTGATCACTCCCATTTCTAACAAAGATAATTACAGTAAAACTAATTTTGTTTGCAAAATAAGTCTAGTCTTATTAAATTTGGCCTGGTTATTTACATAAGTGCAACAAGAATAGTGACTAATTATATAGACTCTCTTAAATCTGCTTTGCCGAAACTTTTCTTAAGAAATCTTAGATTAGATTTTTAAAAGCCTCTCAAGGCTAGGACGCCAAGCCAAAGACTTGCTGTCTGCCTGCAATACCTTTAGCTTTGGGTAAATTGCTCTCTTCTTGAGGTCCCCCAAAATATCCTGAGTTTCCTGCACCTGCCAGGAAGTGACCTTCCTTACTCACCTGGTTAGGCTGTGCAGGAACCTTGTAAGCAAGGTACCAGGCTGCTTTTTCCAAGGGGCGTTATTGGCTCATTACTTCCTTAAAGCTGTCTGGTCATACCTGGTACTATGCACATCTCTCTTGAACATGATATTCTGGTCAAAGCCTTGGTAATAGAACCAATGTTTCCAATTCTTTTGAACTTATGCAAATAAATATATTGTCATAAAGAATGTTCATTAAGTTTCCAAATTCTAGAGGGATCAGGTAGGGAGAAAAAGTAATTGTTTCATCTTTGATTACAAAGGTATAACTTTACCAAATTGCTGTAAGTCATAGCTAGCTTAAGAGAAAAGAGAAAAAAGTTTCCTTAAATCTAGAAAAACAAAACATTAAAGAATGAGCAATGTTTCAAACAAAAAGTCCTCATCAGTTTATTCAGTCCTATGTTATTAATTCTTGTTCTGCTTGAACCCAGTTTTTCCAATAGTTCTGGAGATTCTTACCCAGTTCAGTTTTATGATCTTAAAGTTGTCAGAAACCTGTGCTTGCCAGAGTCCTTTCCATGAATCTCCTTGGAAATGAAGCACTTTCACAGGAACACTTTTGCAAAAGCATCAGAGTAAAACAATAACTATAAATGACAAAAGTCTTTAAAATGGTCATGTTTAAAGATCTGATGAGAGTTTATTATAATGCATGTGACAAGGAAATTTGCTTATTTCTGTGACACACACCATTTCAAGAGAATAACCAGAATTATGACTAATAACATTATACCAAGACATATCAGATTTCTAGGAATTTCATATAATTTTTAGAACACATATTAATAACATATTAATCCACACAAATAGGATCTAAAAGTTTAGCATTACTTCTTAATTGACAGTGCTTCCCACATAATTTAAAATATCAAATAAGCCTAATTAGTTTAACATCTCCCTCTCTCCCTTTTTTTTAATAAGGAGAGAGAACAAATCTTTTGAGGTGTTCCAGGGGCCCTCTGGAAAATCCCAAAGTTGGTTCCAGATCAAAGAGACTTTATTTAGAATTTGATTTGGGGAAGTTTGTCAAAATATCAAAAGGTTTGGACATTTGACTAAATAAGATCACAGATCATTATGAAATAATACTTAATTATCTATTTGACCAAAGTGACAATAAAAGCTTTCAAAGGCAAGTACAGAAGGTTACATAGTTGTGAGCAAAACTTAGCTCTTTTAATATTAAGAAGATTCAGTTTTCTTAAGTAATCAAGGACCTAACGATAAAGGTAACATGAAGTACAGGAAATTATTTTGATAAAACACAGAATTTTTGCTTTCTAGGCAGATTACTTAAAAGGTAAAGAAAAGCCTTTCACAATCTCTTATCAGGAACAGACCAATAGTCTAAGAAAACTTTGTCTTTTTAACAGATGTTAGAAAAATCAAGTTTTAGTTTTATATAAGGACACTACTGATTTTAAAGCTTAATTTTATAATCCTTATAATAAATTCATTGAATTTTAGCCAACTTGACCACACAAGGTAAGATTCTCTCTCTCTCTTTCTCTATTCCCAACTTTCTATTTAATTTGTCCTTTATTCCCTCCTTTCCCATTTTGAAATAACCAGTTTTACTTTGGGACAAATGTACTATCTTTTCCCTTAACAAAAATGCATCTTCATATTTCATACCTTTTCTTACCCCAAAACACATCCTACTTTCTTTGCATACAGAGTTGTTTCCCTTATTATTTCTAGTAGTTTTAATTACATATATCAATTCTTAGAATTATAGGGTTAGAATTCTTAATCCATAGAAAGTTTAATTTCTACTGAAATCTAAGAAGTAAGCAATTGTGAACTGTCTGTTACACCAGTATTCTTTAGATTGGCATGTTTATGAATACATTCAATAACTTCTAAAAACATATACCCTTTTTTAAATAGTACAGTCTTTCAATGTGGCACAAGACATATTTGCTAACAGACCCAAATTTATCTTTAATTTTTCTGCAACAGGAAGCCAAAGGTAGATAAATCTATGTTCTGTAATTAATGTTTCATTATTTTCTCTTATTTGGAAATGATCTAGATAGTCAATGAACTTCCATCACTTAACTTAGTAAAACTCTAAGGTTTTTAGTTACAAAAAAGATTTGGAGGGGCCGGCCCGGTGGCGCAAGCGGTTAAGTGCACACACGCCACTGCGGCAGCCCGGGGTTCGCCGCTGGTTCGGATCCCGGGCATGCACCAACGCACCACTTGGAAAGCCATGCTGTGGCAGTGTCCCATATAAAGTGGAGGAAGATGGGCATGGATGTTAGCCCAGGGCCAGTCTTCCTCAGCAAAAAAAAAAAAAAGAGGAGGATTGGCAGATGTTAGCACAGGGCTGATCTTCCCCACACACACACAAAAAAAAGATTTGGAGAAACTATTTAAGTAGACATACCATAAAATATAATTATTGTTGGGCCGGCCCCGTGGCTTGGCGGTTAAGTGCGCGCGCTCCGCTGCTGGCGGCCCAGGTTCGCATCCCGGGCGCGCACTGACGCACCGCTTCTCCGGCCATGCTGAGGCCGGGTCCCACATGCAGCAACTAGAGGGATGTGCAGCTATGACATACAACTATCTACTGGGGCTTTGGGGGGAAAAATAAATAAATAAAATCTTTAAAAAAAAAAAAAAAATATATATATATATATAAAATTATTGTTGAAAAGTTCACCTAAAAATTCTTATCTCATTTACATCAATCTAATTCACCTGGTGCTAGCAATTATGTTTGGGCTACCCACAAAAACTTCATGAGAAATTAGACAAAGTCAGCAATCATTCTAAGTCATTTTTTTCTTGCTGATGAATTTTATAATAGAGATAACATGAATTTATTTGACTAATAAACCCAGGTAGAATAAAAGTTGTATATCTACATTATATTCATTGTTGATAACTCTAAAGATAT